TTGAGTAGGAAAATATCATTTACCATGTTCTTTTCTAACAGTTTCCAGGGATGTCCCACAGACATGGCCAGCAGCCAAGCCCTGACTGAGTTTCTTTGCTCGAGCAAATCAATGTTTAGCCACTAATGGGAGCTGAATGCCCATTTTCCCTGCCCCATTTATTTTATTGCCAGGGTTTGGGTGCAGGGGAGGCAGCACTGGGGCAGCTCTCTGGAAACCCCAGTGTGCACTTGGAATGTTCACTCCCATCCCATTTTATGGTGTGTGATGGGCAAACACATTAGGGAAGAGCTGCTGGAATAACTCACAGTGCCTGGCTCTCTCTCTGTCCATCTCCATTAGTTTTTATTTGGAATTTCCACAGGGTTGAGGTGCTCTTGCTTAGTTTGTGCCAGCAAAAATCCCTGTGGAAGAAAATGTTTTTCCACAGCAGGATTTTTTTTTCATTATTAGAGTGAATAAGTATCTTTTTTCCTGTCCTGCTGGTCTCTTCAGCCTTGCTGTGGGATGTGGACAGGGATAGGAGCCCTGAGCCACCATGGGATGGCAATAGCAGGAGCTGAGCCACCACCAGCTTGAGGTGAAGTGATTAAAGCTTGTAGCTGCCACCAGCATTTCCTGCCTGTAATTAATGCTTTTAATGAGGAGGCATATGGTAACCCCCTCCTCCCTGGCATTTTGCCAGGTGTGGGTTCATTAACAGCTGCTAATTACACCATTATTCAGTGTATAAGTCAAGGAGAGCTACACTGCTCCAACTGCCTGTGAATGCTGCCAAAATTTTCTTAGTTTAAATTTTCTGCTTTCTCCTTATACAGGGAGCTGAACCCCTGGGGGTTTGCAGGGCAAATCAGCGTCCCTGGGACACAGAGCCAGCACATTCCCTGCTTTCCCTGACCCCTCTCCATGCACAGGACCTGCAATTCCAGCTGCACTCCTCCTCCTCACAGCCAGGACATGCTTTTATTCCCATGGGTGAGTTTTGCTGAAGTTTGATATTCCCAGGAACTGCAGAGGGGCTTGAAGCCATTCTCAATCTGATGGAGCATCCAGCTGCCAGGACATCCTCAGCCCCATGAATGCTATGTGTCCCAGAGCAGGAGGGCATTATGCTGGTGGGAGAACCAGTGGCTTTATTCCTCTCAGACCTCAGCTTTGCTGCTGGGGTGTTCATTGCACCAAGTGCTTGATATGATGCTCTTTCTCCTGAAAAAAAGCTCTTGGAAATGTTTTACCAGCAGCTGGTTGCAGTTTTTACATTGGGCATTATGAAGTGTCTCACTTCCAGCCTGAGGCTCTGAATATTCCTGCTCCATGCCAGTATTGGGAGAAAATGAGCATTGAAATCATCCACCTGGAAGTTCTGGCCCTCCTTTCCAAGCCAGTCCCAGGTCCTGCTCCTGGTGCTACCCTGTCTGTGCCTGCCTTGTCACCAGTGGGACCATGGACACTCTGGATCTGCCTCTGAGAGCAATGGGAGCCTGGGCAGAGGGGACAAGGACAGATGGAGAGGCCACTGGGGATGGAGTCAGGGTTTGTCAGGCTGATCATGAGACTCTGAATCTCCCACAAACACATGGACATGGAGTTGGGAATGCCTCACCAGTGCCATTGGACCCAGCCTCTGTGGATGTGGCACTGGGGACAGGTGAGTGTGGCCATGGCAGAGCTGGGGAGCTGCTGGACTTTTCCAGCCCAAAGAATTCTGTGATTCCATGAGCTCCCTGCCCAAGGGCACTGCTCCTGCACCGCTCTCTGGAGCAGCAGGGTGTAATTTATTGTAAAATATTTGATTATGATGACTGCAGTGCCACGAGTGTGTGTGGGAAGATGGCATTTTTGAGAGCAGGTGGGAAGGGACGATTACAGGAGGGCCTGAGGGTTAAATCCACACCAGGAGGGTGGGATGGTCAATCCCAGATTTAGCTGGGGACACATTTCCCTGGTTGGTGACACAGCAGGACATCAAACCCAGGGGTCAGGGAATGGGCCAGGCACAGCTCAGTACAACCACGGTGCCCAGCACTGCAGCTGGGTGGAACCTGGCCTGGCAGTGAAATTGTCTCTCTCTGGCTGGGAGAGGAGAAACCTCTGAAAATGGGAATAATTCCTTTCTGAAGGAAAATGCAGTGTTGGGGTGTACAAACTCAGTAGGGTCCACCTTCCTGCCAATCCTTGTGTGGTTATTTTGGGCACAGAACACCCAGGAAAAATGTCTCCTATTTACTGAGGATAAAACAAATGATTCACATGAGGAAACTTAATAATTCTTCATGTCCAGGAAAGTCACACTGAGCTGCAAAACCAGACCAACCTCCTGTGGAGCAGATCCCTGGGCCGGGCTGCTGCTGCCCTCTGCTGCCAAGTGACACTTCCCACATCTTACTCCTCTCAATCCAGGGAAGAAAGAATTCCAAACTGAATTTTATGTTTTCAATACACTTTTTTATTGCAATAACCTCTAAGTGATTCACTTTTAAACCTCTATGCTAGTAAAGTAGAAATTAATATTGATATTTAATGATAGGACTAAACAGGAGATTAAAAAACTGCCGTGGAAAGATGCACAGAATGTCAGGGATTTTGAATTAAGTACAGAGAGAATAAATTTAATTAAGACACAAGAGCTTATCAACATTCATAACATTTTCACAGGAAAATCTGATTAAATGTTAATAAGAGAAAGTTTGTTTAATAGAAAAAGGACACTGAGCAACAAAAAAAACCCCAAACAAATATATATATATAAAGCAACATAAGGTGAAGTAGGACAAAGTGATGGAGTTACTGATTTCCTTCAGTGGTTTCTGCTCTGTGCTGAAATACAAGCACAGGTGGAGTGGTGAAGAACTCTGAAATTCCAGAAACTGGGCTGAAGTTTTGATGCCAAGGTTCTCATCAGAACCTTGTCAGCATCAGTGTCATCCTCCTCCCTGCATTTCCTCCTTGCTGGTTTCCCAAACACAGAGAAAGGCACCATAGCCACGGCCAGGCAGCTCCTTGGCCAGGGGCAGAGTCCCTGTGGCCTCACTGACTTCAGGCTGGAAACACCTACACATTCCTACAAGTCTTATCGAGGCTTTGTTTCTATAACCTTACAACGGGGAATGCTACATTGTGTTCAAAGGTAACATTCAGTGTTTTCAAACGCTGATTATGCGATCCAAAACTTAGGAAGTTAACAATCTGAATTACATTTTACAGGCTTTCTCCCCTTCCTGCCTTAGGTAGGAACAAACTGGGACAGTTCAACAGCTTTTAGAGCAAATCCTGGCAGCACGAGTGGAGTGAGTGGAACATAAACCCCTGTCATTTTAAGCAAGCTCTCTGCATGGCATCTGTTGCCTTCTCAGAATTTCCATTACATTAACTGCTCATGCTGGTTCATTTTTTTGCTCTTCTCCTCCACTTCTTTCAGCACATCCTGCAATTTCTTAGAGCTCTGTGCCAGGAGGGCAAAGCTTTCCTTGAAGTTGCCGGCGCCGTGCTCCCTGCAGATGTTCTCAAGCCCATCAAAGCACTGCAAAATCTTCTCCAGCTCGGCCTTGACAACCTTCTGCTCCTCCAGCTCTGCTAGCAGCTCCTGCTCCAGCACCGCCTCTGCCCTGCACTGCTGCTGCAGCTGCTGCAGCTCATCCTGCAGCGCCTGGAATTCCTCCTCGCTGTAGGGATACTGCTCCTGCACCTTGTCCTCGGGCAGCAGCACGTTCTTGGGGATGTTCAGCACCAGCTGCAGCAGCACTTCTTCCATTTTAGAGAACAGCTTATCGAAGTGCTCCTTCATGAAGAGCAGGAATTTCTCGGTGCATTTGCGGATCTTGGAAGGGCTGATTTTGCAGTCGGGAATGCCGTCCAGCTTCTTCAGCATCACGCCCTCCACCACCAGCATCATTTCGAACAGGTAGTCCTGGAAGGCGGTGTAGACGCGCAGCATGCAGGTCTGCGGCGTGAAGCCGAAGAACTGCGCCTCGTAGGTCATGGGATCCACCGACATGGCGGCGGGGCCGGGCCGTGAGGGGAAGGTGGGACTCACAGGGCGTTACCCGAGCCAGCGGGGCCGCTCTG